TATTTATATATACACATAATAAATATACACAGTACACACACACACATATATTTTGTACACAAAAACTTTTATTTAGGATGCGATTAATCGTGATTAATCATTGCCCAGCACTAATCATTGCCCTGTCCTTCTAAATGTTTTCTAAATATTTTAAAAAATGTTGGTAATCAGACAGTTTTGGTTCCTATTGATTTCCATTATATGGGCTTAAAATACTATGGAAGTCTATGGGTACCGTCAGCTGTTTGGTTACCAACATTCTAAAAAAATCTTTTTTTGGGGTTCTTCTAAGTGTTTTCTAATTATTTTTAAGAATGTTGGTAACAAAATTTCAGTTTCCATTGATTTCCATTATATGGGCTTAAAATACTATGGAAGTCTATGGGTGCCGTCAGCTGTTTGGTTACCAACTTTCTAAAAAATAATTTTTTTTTGGTTCTTCTAAGTGTTTTCTAATCATTTTTAAGAATGTTGGTAACAAAATTTCAACTCCACTTGATTTCCTTTATTTGTTTAAAAAATACTATGGAAGTCTATGGGTGCCGTCAGCTGTTTGGTTGCCAACATTCTTCAAAATATAATTTTTTGTGTTCAGCAGCAGAAAGAAACTCATACAGGTTTGGAACAGCTTGAGGGTGACTAAACACTGGCAGAATTCCCATTCTCAGCTGAACCGTCCCTTTAAGGGCACATGTTGCTTTCGTCTGTTTTCGTTCCGTCTCCAGCACTGTCTGTAGGCGCGTCGCTCTACGAGGGGTTTGCGTTCTCCAGGAGCGGCGGCCCGTCGCGGTGGACCGACTCTCTCTTGTAGGTCTTGGGCGGGAGTTTGGGGATGGGCGACTGCGAGGTGCTGTGGCGTGGCGGGACGGGCGGCCCGGGTGTCTGCGGCGGGAAGAAGGCCTGGCTGGGCTCGGAGCGGCGGCCCTGCGGAGGCGGCTGCAGGTGCAGCGGGGAGCTGGAGAAGACGTCTGGCGTTCGCACCGGCTCCCGCGGCGGCAGGGTGGGCGGGCTGTCAGGCGGCTCCGTCAGCGAGTAACGGGGAGAGTACACCTTGGAGGTGGGCTGACGCGGCGGGATCGCCGGAGGACTGTCCAGGTGCTTCGACATCATCTGAAACACACCAACAAACCACTCGTCACACGCTGTGCTCGGAAAGATCACATGTGCATGCAGAGGATATAGGATTCTATTCTATCTATAGCACAACTGTACATACAATTTATTTTATTTTTCAACTTATTTTTCTATTTTTTGTTTATTTATATTTACATATGTGGAGCACAGAAGCAGTCATAAGCAGCACAGGTATATTTGTAGCAATAGCCAACAATACATTGTATGGGTTTTTCTTTTATGCCAAAAATCATTAGGATATTAAGTAAAGATCATGTTCCATGAAGATATTTTGTAAATCTCCTACTGTAAATATATCCAAACTTAATTTTTGATTAGTAATATGCATTGCTAAGAACTTCATTTGAACAACTTTAAAGATGATTTTCTCAATATTTAGATTTGTTTGCACCCTCAGATTCCAGATTTTCAAATAATTGTATCTCGGCCAAACATTGTCCTATCCTAACA